GGCCAATATAAACTCTAGGTAAAGATATCTTACTTTTAGTAAAACAATCATTTAGATGTAATTTTCAATACTGTGAAATTGGTTTTTCCATATATTAATTAGCCAATGTTAACTGGATAATTGCTATTATGGGTACTTCGTGTGCATTTCATGTCACATTGTATGTAAATATCTTATGAGCTTATCATTACATTTATTTTCAAGAGGAATTAGACATTACTGATGTGCTTAATAGTTGTAATCAACACTTCACTTTTCATTTTGACCATTCAAAGATTTCATAAATTAAATGATTATTTTTTGTATTTTTTTTATCTTGGTTTAATCTTTCATTGTACGGAAATAGAAAATATAAAAACTATTTATTTTTCAGCGCCTAATTTGGGAATTTTATTTTATTTACCATGACAAACTTGATAGTCATTTCAATTTTGGAACTTTGAGTGTATTTATTTAAATTATTAGCTGTTTGTGCATGTTTAAGCATGCAATTCATCTTCTTTTCTGTTTCAATATGTCCTTCTTTTAAAGTTATATTCGATCACTCCCCATCATTTCCAGTATGCTATATTTTCATTGTTGTGTGCATTGTAGCATCATACTATAATTTTTAATCTTTCAAGTTCATTATTTATTACCTTTGTGAAATATATCATCTTACAATTACTTTTATTCAAAATGCAATGATGTTATATTAGACAAGCACTACAAAGTACATTGTTGTTTACTTTAAAATTATGAATATGGACATTTTCTGTTAATTCTTACAAAACAGGGACCATTTTAATAAAACTTTAATAATATGGATTTATTTGTAAAGTTAGTATCACAGGGACCATTCATGTATTTGCAATTATTTCATATTAAAACAACAACCATTTATGTTTATTTTTTTTTAGTTTTTTACCTTTGTCAAATATAGCATCTTACAGTTACTTTTATTCTAAATGAATTAAAATAATGATGTTATATTACACAATTTCTGTTAACTTTGAAAAAACATGGACCTTTTGTGTAAATTTTTAAAAATATGGAGATTTTTTTGTAAAGTTAGTAACAAAGTGATCTTTTTTGATATTTTTTTAAAAGTTAGTAACACATGACCTTTCAAACAAGAACTATTCTTGCAAATTCCTTTTTTTTTTTGAAAACTTCCCATAATACCCTTTTTATAACTAACAATGACTTAATATCGCAATATAACCATAATATAGCAACGCACTTTTCTTTTACCAATTTATACAATATGTTTATTATGACTCTTTATCCTTTCTACCCTAAAATAGTAATGTAGTTTCTAAGTATATTGCTATAATTGTCAATAATGTAAACTGATTTGTGCAGAATGCTATATTTTCATTGATTTGTGCATTGTAGCTTTTTTTATAAACTGTATTTTACTTTTTAGAAACTTATTTATTAGATATTAACTTGCTTTGTATGTTTCCAGTAAACAACTGTTTCATAACAACCAACAAATACCATTATACCTTCAATTACTTTTATATTACAGCAACCTACTTTCAATTTTTTTTAAAAGTTAAAAAATAAATGCAACACAAATGTAATGATTTTGTGTGAATGTGATGTTGTCTGTGTGTAGTTTGTATATGTTTTATGTACGTATGTGTTGTATATTTACTTTTTTATTGATATTTTTTAAGTTAAATTTTGTTTTTGTCAATACATATAGTATAAGGCTTATTTGATTTTTACACAGGGTATATCTTTTAAATTTAATTTAAAATATAATATTGGTAATTCCAATATGTTTATTAATCTAAATTCAATATCATAATACATATTACTATAACTTATTTGATTTTTACACAACGTGGTATAATATTAAGTATTAACCATGAATATCTTCATTTTTGATAATGGAAAATGAAGAAAATGAAGAAAAATAAGGTTGAGTATTAAGAGAATAAATTACGGTTAGATAAATTAGGGTTGAGCATATTAACCGAAAAACCGAATCATAACCAAATTAACCGATATAACCGAACCATTTTAACCGAACCATTACTAAAAGATATGGTTCGGTTTCTAATTTTGATTAACCGAATACATATGGTTTAGTTATGGTTTTCATCAAAAACCGAACCATTATAAACCGAACCGAACCAATAATATTAATACTGTTTTTAATATAATATAATATTACATATATAATATGTAATTATATTGAGAATTGAAAATTTAAAGGGTTGTTATTTAGAGTTAGATAGGATAAGTATTGATTTTATCAATATAATTATATATACGCAATCATTCACTTTTTATAACGATAGACCTTGTATTTTCAATTTTTATAGAGAAGTATTTTTATTTTAATGTCATCTTGGACCATTTTGGTTAACCGATATTAACCATTAACCATAACCATTAACCAAAACCAATATTAACCGTTACCCAATGGTTATTGAAATACATTAACCAATTGTAATGGTTATAGTTCGGTTTTGACCAATAACCGAACCAAACTGCCCCATACACACCCCTATAAATAATTGTTTGTCGTTATTATTATTATTATTATTGTTTTACATATTCGTGGAATAACATGGATCAGGTCAAAAAGTGGTGTTACAACAGAAACGGAGAAGATGCCATTTTGTTTCAGGTCAAAAAGTGGGTATTCTGAAATTCTATACCCTCTCTCCTGCATCCCACCATTAAGGGGGCTATTTTATGCCTGGAAAAAAAATCAAAGATATCAAAGTTAATAGACACCTCCTTCATCTTTCTTTTTAGTGAGTAAATGGAGAATCATAGACATCAATAAAGCTTCACCAGAAACATACCTGTAGGAATCTTGAACTGACATGGAGACCTTACAATTCTCTCCAGTGTTCACCACCACCGCCATGTCCTATTTTTTTGTTCCCCTCACCACACAACAACATAGGGGGACTCTGGCTACATCTACCTAACCTTACCTTTTTAAAAGAGAAATTAAACAACAATTCAATGATTATCTCAGATAATACAGTTCACTGAAATCGAAACAGATACAAAGAAGAGGAACAGAGGAAAAAGCAATCGTACTTGCATATTTGGGAGCATCTTACAACACATTCGCTCTCCTAATCCCCTCCTCTTTAAAAAAAAAAACTTGAGTCGGGCATTTTATCCAACACCTGGTGTGCATAACGAAATACAATTACAAGTAATAACAAATTCTTTGAACAATGTATCAGTTCCTGTTTGGACATTCCAATTATCGTTTCTCTACAACATAGATGGCCTATAATTCAAAAAATGTCTTTATTTATATCAAGATAGGTTAAAAATAACAATACAGAAGAGGGGGAAGGCATGAGGAGGCTTACGTGATCTGCTTTCTCTCTCAAACCTTCTTTTTTCAAATCCTGCCAAAACAAAATCCAAATTCAACATGTTCAATATCTTCAAATTAACTGGAAAAAGTGGAAATAGAGTGTAATTAGGTTTTAAGAAAAGAAAAATAGTGAATTTATAGAAAGTTATGAGAGGAAGGTACTGACAAGGTATACGACAGGAGTTATGGTAGCCTCGCCACCGTTGTTACAGACACGTCGGACACAAGCTCCACTGTCGGGTCCGTCAGGTCTTTTGTAGCAAGCTCTGGAGACGACGTTCCATCAGCAGCTAATCGAAGCTCAGAACGATATGGTCAGATTTCAAACACCGGATTTTGTTATTGGGTAAGAAAGAGGTAGTGAAGCGGCAATCCGTATTCTTTGAAGCCTACAAAAAAGTCAAATAACAAATTTTAAGCCATATTGATTTAAATCAAAAGAAGCAAAAGAAAATCGACTGAAAGAATGAGGGTTAGGGTTCAATAGCCATATCCGATCAATAAACTTAATATGAATAGAAGGGAAAACAGAAATCAGTCGTACTAACCCCGAAATCGCAAATACTTGGTGAAGATGGACAGGTAATTCGTATTCTTTGAAGCCTACAAAAATCGTTTCTTCTTTGCAGAAAGTCGTCACCGAAAAATTTAAAGACTCGACCTCCATTGCACACAGGCCACACGAGACTGGTGGCAGCAACGCTGTTGATTTTCTTGTCCTTCTAATATCTGCACAACTAACAAAATTCTAAATCAGTAACATGGTAAAGTCAACGATAACAGAAGAGAGAAGGAGGAGGGGTCAGATTTTTTGTCCGAAAGACCAATTATTTCCACACCCAAACGGCGACTGTTGTGACCTAGAAATCGCGATTGTTGTGACCCAGACGAAAACCCACCTTCAAAATACTATCTTCCTTCACTCTCTATATCGGTCGTTCTATTCCAGTCGATCAAAACACGCAATCGATTGCAATCATTTCCGCCTCTTTCCTCTAGTCGCACAAGTCAAACAAATCAAAGAGAGGTGATGAGAAGGTGGGATTCGTAGAGAAAACCCAAATTAATACCAACGGACGGTCGAACCGCTTTAAAAAACACCAGATAAATTTCGTAGAGAAAACCCAAATTAATACCAACGGACGGTCGAACCGCTTTAAAAAAGCACCAGATAAATTTCCAGAAGCTTTTGTTAAGGCGGATCAAAAAAAAAAAATTTTTAATGCTACTTCATGTAAAAGCATCATTAAATAAGGATTTTTTTATGCTCTTTTTATAAAAGAGCATCATTAAATAAGGATTTTTTGATGCTCTTTTTATAAAAGAGCATTATTAAATCTTTATCTTTTGATGCTATATTTTGAAAAACGCATCAAATGAAAACGCTATGATTTTTTAGTGCTACTTCATGTAAAAGCATCATTAAATAAGGATTTTTTGATGCTCTTTTTAATAAAATAGCATCATTAAATCTTTATCTTTTGATGCTATATTTTGAAAAACGCATCAAATGAAAACTAGCTATATCCGTCTTTTAGGGTTTCTATAAACACTAACATACTTCGAACTTTTGGAACATGGAGATTCTCTGCAGCATTTATGAAACATAAACATAAATGCGTAAAAATTCAAAATACCCTCATTAATTGTTTTGCTATCTTCACCGAAGGTAATTTTAATTTTATTGTACTTTTAATTTTGTTCTAAGTATTTATTTATTAAATGATTGTTTATTGATATTTTTTAAATTGATTTGTGTAGATTGTGAACATGTGAAAATTTACATAACTTGTTTGTTTAAAATCAATATATTTACCTTCTTTGAATGTTTATTTTAATTTTCAGATGAATCGTGATTATTGGATGTACAACACTTCACGTTTTTCTCAATTTTATATAGAGGGTGTTCAAACTTTTATTAGGGTTGCCGAAGAAAATCGCTTAGAAAAAGAAAGTGGATCGATTTGTTGTCCTTGTAACGTTTGTAAAAACTTTAAAACGTTTAATTGTACCGAAGAAATAGAGTATCATTTGTTGCAAAATGGTTTTGTGCCTTATTACACTTGTTGGTCAAGACATGGAGAAACACTACTTGATTGTAGCACATCCTCGAGCAATTTACATATTAATAATAGTACATACAACAAAGATTCATATGTTGTTGATGATGATCACCATTCAAATGACCCCAATGACAATTTCAATGAAATGTTTGATGACATGGAGGCTAATATGGGTGATGTTAACCGTAAACCCTAAAGACGGCGTTTGAAGTTTTTCGGCGTTGACTTCTGATTTCCGGTGGATTTTCAAGTCGATTCTAATTTGGTTCGACGTGGGGAGTCTGCTGGGGTGGGGGGATGGGGTTTTATACGGGGTTTTATATGGTTATCTGAGCAGCTATGAATGAAGCTTTGACAGTATGTCCAGACAACGTGAGGAACAATGGAGGAATGTAGGAAGAAGGAACGATAGAAGAGCAGGGTTCTTCTCAAATAGTGAGAGAGATCGAATGAATGGTAGAGGCGGAGGCCAACAATCAAATGCAGAGTCAATAAGTAAAATTGCTATCTCATTCTATGTTACTAACCTCCCTCCTGACCTGCAACCAAAGGAATTATGGCATGCATGTGAGAAACTTGGGAATGTAGTAGATGTGTATATTGCCCAGAAGCGTTCTAGAATGGGGAGACGGTTTGGCTTTGTACGTTTCACTAAGGTTAAACACAATCAGGAATTGGAGAGGAGATTGTGTGAGTTATGGTTTGGAAACTATCATGTTTTTGCCTCGATTTCTAAGTTCACTAGACAAAATCAAAGCAAATCCGATACAGGTTATGGGAAACAATACCAGAAAAAGAAGACGGGTGAATTGAAAGATGGAGATGGGCAAAAAAAGAAATCTTATGCCAAGGTTGTTGTGGGGGAAGGGACTAGTACTCATAAAGATACTAGTATGGGTCGGAAGGTCATAATTGGGGGTAGAGAATTAACTGGTATGACCGAGGTTCAGTCTATAGTGCTTGCTGAAGTAAGGGAAGCTGCTTCGATTCCGAATCTAATTAACTTATGCTCCGAGGAAGGATTTTATGATATCAAAATCAGGTATGTCGGTGGGTTGTGGGTAGTGGTGTCATTTGAGTCTGCTAAAGCCTGTAAGAATTTTTCATCTAATGCTGGTATCCAGAATATTTTTTGTAAGTTTCGTGGTATAACTAAAGATTTCGTTATCTCGCAAAGAGTTGTTTGGTTGGAAAATCTTGGGTTGCCTATGTGTGCATGGAATCCATGTGTTTTCAAGAAGATTGCTTCGGTATGGGGATCAGTACTGTTTTCAGATGATGATGAGAATAATTGCATGTCAACTGGAAAAGTATGTGTGTTGACTGGGATTATGGCAAGTATTCAAGAATAGTTATGGGTAACTATTGAAGGTACAGATTACTAGGTATATGTGAAAGAAGTGGCACCGTGGGAACCTGATGTGGCACAAGATGGGAGTTTTGTAGAGGAAGACAATAATTCTGTTGGATCGTTTGACGAAGGAGAATGTGAGTCTTTTGGCTTCAATTCAGATAAAAAAAATGAGGAGCATGATCAGAACCATGAGGATGTTAATGTTAATAAAGTGAATAGTGAACCTGATTTTATACAGGAAGTGGAGAAAATTAATGATGCTGGTAATGATGAAATAGGGAATAATAATAGGCCTCACAATGTTCCTGTGCAATCGATGGGTATTGGTCATGGTTCAGCTTCGAAAGTTGAGTTTAATAAAATGGAGAATGTGCAGTCGGAGGATCAAAGGAGTAATGCTAGTATCTCGAAGCCACCAGGTTTCGGGGGTAAAGTTTTCAAAGAAACTCGTGGGCCTTTTCAATATTCAGAGGATAATCTTAGGAAGTCATGGAGTACAGGATCAGTAAAGATTTTGAAGAAAGCTATCCCATCGGTGGGGGCTAACTCGTGTGAAGAAGTGAGTAGGTTTATTGAGCTAGGAAAAATCCTAGGTTATGACGTGGAGAATGTTAAGGCGGATTTGAAAAATCGTCTAGTCGGTATGGGAGTGCTTCAGTCTTTATGAATTGTCTATCCCTTAATGTTTGTGGCCTAAATACGTCTAAAAACGTAGATGCGTTAAAGAGATTTGCAATAGTAATATGGTGAATTTTATTGGTCTTCAAGAAACGCGTTTGACTCGGATAGACCTTTTTAAAATAAGGTCTCTTTGGGGTAATTCGGCTTTTGATTTGGCTTGTAGTACGGCTAGGGGATGCTCAGGTGGTATTTTGTCGGTGTGGGATACTTCGGTGTTTAAGAAGGAGAGGATACATTGTCATGAAAATGTGGTGATTGTTGAAGGCTGCTGGATTAGAAAAAATATTAAATGTACTATGTTCAATGTGTATGCTCCTCAAGATGCTGGAAAGAAAAGGGATCTATGGCAATATGTGATCTCGTATATGTCCAGTGTAAATGGTGATTTTATAGTCTTTGGTGATTTCAATGTGGTTAGATCTTCTAATGAGAGACGTGGGTCTTTGTTCTCTGTCTTGCAGGCTTGCCGATTTTAATAATTTCATTTATGAGGCATATCTTTTTGACATTCCTATGGAGGGAAGGAAATTTACCCGGATGGACAAGGCTGGTGTGAAACTAAGTCGGTTGGATAGATTCCTTATTTCTGAGAGTTTGTTAGATGCTATTCCAGATATCTCGTGTATTGCTTTGGATAGGAGGTGGTCAGACCATTGCCCGTTACTTTTGAAGGAAGATCATAATAATTATGGTCCAATTTCGTTTAAGCTTTTTAATTCGTGGCTTCAAATGGATGGTTTTTCTGATGTAGTTTCTCAAGCAGTTAAAGATTTTGTTCCAGACTGTACTTTGAATAAGTGTCTTAACCTGAAGAATAAGCTCAAACTTGTTAAATCTAAGCTTAAGGAATGGCAAGCTGATATGCGTAAGTTGAAAGGGGAGCAAAGAAAAGAGTTTATTAATCGCTTGCTTGATATTGATAAGTTGATTGATCGTGGGACTGTTTCGGCTGATGACATGGTCGAGAGGAAGAATATTCTTCAATAGGTTTCGGATATTTACAAGGCGGAGAGTATGGACTATGCTCAAAAGGCTAAGGTTAAATGGGCAGTAGAAGGATATGAGAATTCAAATTTCTTTCATGGCATGTTAAAAAGAAAAAGAAAACAGATGGCCATTAAAGGAATCTCTCAAGATGGTACTTGGGTGACTAATCCAAGTTTAGTTAAGGAGGCATTTTTAAAGTTTTACAAAAATAAATTCAAGCATTCTAAGGTGGTTAGGATGGGTACCCCTAGCTCTCGGTTTCGAAAACTAAATGAAGAACATGTGGAGTCCTTACAAGCTTATTTTTCGGATGATGAAGTCAGGGAGGCGGTGTGGTCGTGTGGGAGTGATAGGGCTCCGGGGCCCGACGGGTTTACGTTCCGGTTCCTGAAATAATTTGGAGTATGTTTGAGAAGGATGTGTATGAATTCATGAGGGAGTTTTTTGATACCGGTATCATTTCGCCAGGGTGTAACTCTTCTTTTATTACGTTAATTCCTAAAGTTCAAAATCCAACCGAGATCAAAGATTATAGGCCGATTAGTCTAATCGGGTTACAGTATAAGATTGTTGCGAAGTTATTGGCTAATAGATTGGATAAGGTGGTAGACTATTTAGTCAATCCAGTCCAGTCTGCCTTTATAAAAGGAAGGCAGATTTTAGACGGGTCTCTTATGGTTAATGAAATCGTTAGATGGTCCAAGTTGAAAAAAAAAGAAAATGTTGTTATTTAAAGTAGACTTTGAAAAAGCTTATGACTCAATCTCATGGGAGTATTTAGATAAGATTATGGAGGTAATGGGATTTGGTGAGAAATGACGCATGTGGATTAGGGGTTGCCTGCAGTCTGCTAGGTCTTCGGTCCTTCTGAATGGTAATCCGACAGAGTTTCAACTGCAACATGGTCTTCGTCAAGGAGATCCGTTATCTCCGTTTTTGTTTATATTGATTATGGAAGGTTTGCATGTGTGTATGGAAGATGCTACTTACAATTTGATTTTTAAAGGTGCTACTATTGGAGAACAGAACTTGCATATCTCGCACTTGTTTTATGCGGATGATGCAATCTTTCTTGGAGAATGGGATGCTGAGAATATCAAGAATTTAATTCGAATTCTTAGGGTTTTCTATATGGCGTCTGGGCTTCAGATTAATCTTCATAAGTCAAAATTGTATGGGGTTGGTGTTGAGCAGGAGGCTATTGCGCAATTAGCTGCATGTACAGGGTGTGGTGCAGACTCGATTCCTTTTGTTTATCTTGGGCTTCCTGTTGGTCAGCTTATGCATAGGAAGTTGGCGTGGGACTCAATTTTTACCAGGTTCCATAAAAATCTTTCGGGTTGGAAATCAAAGATGTTATCTATTGGAGGCAGATTGACTTTGGTTAGATCAGTGTTGGGCAGCTTGGGAATTTATTTTCTTTCCATGTTTCGGATGCCTAATTCGTTTTGTAAGGAGTTGGAAAGAAGTAGAGCTAGATTCTTTTGGGGAGCTGATGATCGTCAAAGATTC